TCTGGGCTCTGGGAGCGTGTGTCCAGCGGGAAGCTGGGGCGCCGGGCGGACACCTAGCCCAGAAAGGAGCAGGTGCTGAGTCCCCGGGCTGAGCACGTCTGTGCCTTTCACCACGGACGCTGGCGAGACTCTTTCTTGGGGCTCTGTGTGAGCCGCAGGCCGGGGCCGTGGGTGTGCGCGTGCTCCTCCGAGCCGCGCAGGAGGCTTTGGCTGCCACTGGGAGGCACGTGAGAGCCAAGCAAAATTTCTGAAGGCCCTTTGTTTACACCCTGTCAAAACGTGGATGATTTTTAATGTATGGGTCAATAAAATGAAATGATGACTTTCTTCCAGTTATTTCATAGTAGAAGTTCAGCCAGGCTCTCCCAGCTTGCCCAAAGAAATTAGAAACAGAGAACAGGAGTGAAGGAAATAATAGCTTTCTCTCTTTTCTTTTTTACACTAATCACCAGATATGCGGAAAGACTGTGAGACTTTGAGTGTTACTTGGCCTGTGTGGATCCTGTATTTCTCACCTGCAGTCACCAGTGAACATCAGAGAGTTAGGCAAGGCTGCTGCCCAGCGGTTGAAGAGGACGAAGTGGACAACGTGACAGATTATGTTTCTCACAGGCGCCTCAGCAGTACCTCCTGTTCCACACGCGCCTTACGTGTGGCCCTGACACTCCTCCCTGAAAGATCTGACCCTAAACTGGGCGAGAGTTACAACTACATCAACCAACAGAACACGGCAGAAGCAGCGTCACAGAAGCGGGGCCCTGGAAGGTGGCAGAATGTGTCCTGCCTGTTGGAGCAGACGCTTTAGAGCCGCGCTGTCGTCTAGGATCTCTGGCTGCCCTGGAGCTGCCGTCCTCTGAGGCAGCCCAGGTGGCATGGGGAGGCCCAGCCGAGGTTCCAGCCAGTGGCCGAAATCCGACGCCAGACATGGGAGTGAAGATGCCTCCAGGTGATTCTAGCTCCCCAGCCATCGACTCTTCCCAACTGAGGTCCCAGACATGGTGGAGCAGAGAGAAGCTGCCTTTGCTGTGCCCTGTCCAAGTTCCTTATCCACAGAATCTAGGAGTGTAATAAAGTAGTTGTTTTTCCCTGCTAAGTTTGGGGGTGGTTTGTTACGTTGCCATAGGAACTGGAACAGACATGAAACCGGGAGCCCTATCCCGTCCTCCTGAGACCCTCTGTGGGAGGAAGCTTCCTGGAACACTATTTGAAAGCCTCAGGACTAAGCAGCCTTCAACAGCTCCAGATTCTCTGTTTCTAGGAGACCTGGAGTGTAATGGCTTCATCAGGAAAGAGCATCACCTTGCCCAGCATTAAGGATTGAACTGCGTTCTACCACAAGATGACATCCTTACCTGGTGCCTGCGCATGTGGCCTTATTTGGAAATAGGGTCTTCGCAGATTTTCAAAGTAAGATGAGGGCACTTGGGTGGGTCCCGATCCAATATGATTCTTATAAAAAGGGGACACTTGGACACAGACAAACACAGGCAGAACGTCATATGAAGGTGAAGGCAGAGATCTGGTGATGTGGCTGCAAGCCAAGGATTGCCAGCAGACCAGCAAAGACAGGGCAGAGGCGTGGGACAGGCCCTCCCGCACGGCCCTCCGAAGGAGCCGGGCCTGCTGACACCTTGGTCTAGAACTGTGGGACGGCACTGTGTTCACGTAGGCCACCCAGGGTGTGGGAGTCTGTTGCGGAGGCGCTAAGGAAATAGCACATCCCAGAACCATTTGGAACAGGGGTGACTGCCCTCCTGGCTCCAAGACCCTCAGTTAGGAGAGTGAGGCCTCTTGATTGACTCAGCAGTATTTTTCAGCACCCATCTCATCTAAGCCACAATGGGAAGCACTTCAGAAAAATCCGAAGGTAAATTAAGTCTTGGTTTCTGCAGTCACTGGAACTCCAGGAGGCGGCGAGTCCTAAAATAACCGTAGCACAAGTGAGAAGTGACTGGGTGATGCGGCAGGTGGAAAGTGTTAACGGAAATTCTAAGAAAGTCTTAAAGCTCTTTCAAAAGTCTCAGGGACCTTAGTGTAAGTAGAGCTAAAATCAGACGCGGGTGGCTGGAAGGCAGACAGAAGGGGCGTGTCTCCGAGCATTTAACTCTCCTCGGGTCTCCGTCCAGTCAAAGGGCTCAGGTGAAGTGCAGCTCCTTTACTGTCAGGCCTATTTAAAGCATTTGCAGAGTTACTTTTGCATAACGTTGGTTTCCTCCCCGCACATGTAAGAAAAAACGTGTGTGAGTCTGAACATTTTAAAACAGCCTGGAATGCGACTTCTGTGTTACGACTGTTTACCATGATACAGTCAGTGCTGTTAAGAATGCCATTTGCTGTAAGGTTTTGGAGTCAACTTTCAGGCATATTTTTGGATGCAGGTTCTTGATCAGATCTGTAATCAAAGCACTCAGTATCGCTAGCAGTTTCTTTTAAAAATTTACTTATGCATTTTATTTATTTTATTATATCAGTTTCTGAGTTAGGAAAAGCGAATTGAAAATAATGGTTCAGCTGGTTGGCCATACTTTTGATCTGATTGTTTTAACATTGTTGTTGGTAGAATTGAAGGGGAACAAATCAGCCCGAATTTTAGAAAGTATACTGAGCACCCTTTATCAGGAGGCTCCCGGTTAAGCAAGGCACACCTCCACCCCCCCACCCCCCCCAACAAACAGAAGTCTGGTGTGATTTAATCAGGTGCTTAATCCCTCTGACATTTTCGTATTTCCCATTTGACACCAGTTCAGTTTCTTTGAGGGATGGTCTGGACGTAACAAAACATTCTTGTGGCTAAATATTTAGACTGAGTAGTTTTGATTGAAGCTAACCTCTAGTTGTCGATCTCACAAGTGTGAACTCATTTTAAACACTTCCTCACTAAGGTAGCGGTGGGCACTGTCCTTTGTTTCCAGATGCGTGAGACTATTAACGCTGTTTGCCTGCTGGTGTGGTTCGGGCTCAGGATGTGGCTCCCGCGAAAGTCCAAGGGTCATGTCACCAGAGGCTAGGACCCAGGGAGAATTAAGGAAAAACCCTGAATAAATAGTAAGTCTTAAGAAAGTCTTCCTTGCCATTCTAACAAGTGTCAGATTGATTTCTCCTTTAACAGCACTTAAGAGGTCGCTAGTGTGCACGGCCTCAGGTTTCTGTTGAGACTGGCTACGTCATAAAGTGCTCTTTATAAATAAATTTAAATCCCTAAGAAATGTAATTTATACATACAACTCAATAGGCATAAATGGAACACATTAATTCCCTCAGAAATTTGTGGGCATTTATTTCTCAAACTTACAAGGATTATCTTTTCATGTTTTTGCATTGGTTTTATTTATTCTTGGACTAAATCAGCCTGAACTGTTGAAAGTTGTCCAAATGTTACTTAGATCATGATTTTAGCAAAACTACTCCACATGGTCTCTATGAAATTACAATGGAATCCCAAGTATCCTGCAATTCAGATTGAAGAAATGTAATTTTTTCCAATATCAAAATCAGTGCTGAGAAGTTGATTTTTTTCCTTAGAACTATGGAGGAGATATAAATGCAAAAGTTACATGTTGCCTCTTGTGTGTCCCTTTTCCCAAGATCTGTCTTACCTGAGACTGCTATTAAGAATGGAACTAAACACCTTTTTAATGGTGATATCTAGGTGTAACTTGAGTTGAAATAAAATTAATTCTTGAAGATTAAGAAAAAAACTAAAGAGAAAGTCCATCTTCTACTTGTTTCTAGACTTTACAACAGAAGAATCCCTGAATCAAAATAATCAGAATGGCCAGTCTGGTTCAGATGTTTGATAATAACGTCTTTGCCTACATTTTTTATGCAGAATATCCAGACTCTGAAAGTACCCTATCGCTTGTGGGATGCCTGTCATATAAATGCTTACTTGCATTTTGCTTGAGAAACCCGAAGTATAACCTGCATTCAGAGCTTTACACACAGAAGTAATGCAGCTAAGGAACAGCTTTTCACTTTTCCCTACTCGGATATTTAGGGGGAAATTCAAACTGACATTGAGAATGCGCAGGCTTGTGCTGTGGCTAATTAAGTGCCCCACTGAGTCTAGAATTTTCTTCAGCGACTTCCCTCTTCGTGTGCTTCTCCAGCCAAATGTGAATGCTTGTCTTGTACCTTGCTGGCCAGCAACATGAGTAACTGAATCGACTTACTTAATGTCAGTATTTCTCTCACTGTTCTGTATCAGTGAAAGGACTGGAAGATGAGGCAGTGGAAGACGGCAGGGGACAGAGGCTTTTTCACAGGTGCAAACTGCACTGAAATCACCAGATGTCCCTAAATCTGCTGCGCATCTCAGCTCTTGTCTCCAGAGCTTCCCCGGAGCGCTCACACAATCCCGTCTGCTTTCTGATACACACAGCCACGTGGCCTTCTCACCACACCAGTAATCCTTCTTCAGCTCAGTAGTCCTTCTCCAAAGGACTCTCTGTTGATTATCAGTTGAATAACTGAGTCATAAATGGCTACAGGAAAAATATGTGAAGTGACAATTCAGCTTTGAAAGTTCCCAATCACAATTCTCTATGCGTAAGTGGTGCATGAAGTTTTCCTATAAAGGGCTTCCCTAAGCCTAGAATGTACGTGTTTAACTGAGGAAGGCCTTCTGTCTGTACAGAACCGTTCTGACTCATTTAAGTAGCCACAGTCATTACCATAAATGTATTTACCAAAAGTTCAGCTGGACAGCAGTTGTACAGTCTGATCTGGCAAATGCACGGAAATTGTGCTCCAGATTACACAGTAAGGCACTAATTACCCAAATGAAACTCCAGGGGCACCTTAGGTGGATGCAGTACAGAGAATCAAGGAAGGAAATAATTAGTCACAATTGCAGAAACAGCTAGTTATGAAGTGAAAAAATGCATGCACCCTACTTCCTGCAGAGCCCAGGGCTCCTCACTAACAGCACAGGCAAAAATACAAGAGAAACGCAAGAGAGAAACATGATTTCCACAGAGAATACGCAAGGGACAGACCTCAACCTTAAATTACAAAAACGACTTTATTTAGGCTATTTTCTGTTCCTATGGGCTACTTAGCCAAATAACATTAAGACACCAATCATAAATTTACACTATGACATATCAAACTTTCAAGCATTTTCTTGACGGCTGTAGAGGTTCTGCCCGCATTTGACACAATCTGAATACATACAGTGGAGAAAACAGCAGCAAAAGGAAAACCAAGTGAGCACATAAGGCATTGAGGGTCAACCCAGTAAAGATACTCATCAGTCAGGTGGGAGAGGGAACGGCATTCAGCAGAGAGCAAATTTATACCACAGTCAAAATCATGCACAGGAACTGGTATTTAACATGGCTGAGAAATTAAGTTGTTTAAAGTTATATTCCCCCTTTTAAGATCTTTTGATTAGAAAAAAATTCCTTGGGGCAGGAGGAGACCCTCTTCCCTCTCCCCAAAATGAACTGAAGGATGTTACCTTTATCAGTGAAAGGCTCTGGGAAGATGGAGTCAGAGTGGATACCGAGTTTGGAAGGCTGGCATGAAACCGTATTAGAAGCATGTCACTGAGCCCTAAGTCTGAAAAGCCATGACTGGTCTGGTCAAGACTGCCCAAGTTTTCTTGCAATGTGTCTCAATAGACAAGAAAAGATGAGACAAACTCACAGACCCTGAGGCATTCCCCTCACTAAAACCCTGAGTTATTGAGACCCTCCCCAAAATGAGGACTGCTTGAACAGCATCACCACATTCCGGATTTAAAGGAGAATGTAAACTGAATCTTAATTTAGTCTCTAATCGCAAATAGAAATTGTTTTGAAATTTATCTTATCTATTCACTACTAAGTACTGCTGACAGTTTTCATAAAGATGGATCATGACTGTTCGCTGTTTAAATACATCATCACTACTGATCAGGTATTTGGTATGAAATTAGAGAGTAAAATAAACTACTTAGAAAATGGACTCTTCTTAGAATTAGGAACATAAACGACAGCAAAGCTCCTCCTGGGGGAAGTGGTGACTAGAGATACAAAGATTTTTTCTTCTTTTTCTTAATACCAGAAATCATGAGATAGCACATGGCAGAAACATGGACTTTCCTCATCCCGAGTAACCAAAGGGAGACTCCAGGTTGCTTAGACCCCTCTCTACAAAGACGGCCAGAGAGGCAGATAAGGAGGCATCTCTAAATGAGCAAAACCCTCGCAGCAAGCTTCGTGCCCGAGTCTTCCTGGAGGAGCAGCGCCTGCTGCCCAGGAAGCCACGTGAACCATCAGAACTCATCGCAGCAGCGCCTGGGGCACCGAGGGCAGGGGAAAGGCGGGGAGCAACCAGGGACTTTACCAGTGCAAGGGTCAGGGTTTACTGCACCAAGAACTCTCACATTAAAAGTGCCGTGTCAAGAACAAAACAAAATGAAAAGCCACCCCATAGCTGGCTTCCTGAGGCGTGCTCTTCTCGGGCGAGTTCCACTGGGATATATGTAGACACTCTATTTCAGCCAGATCATCACCAAACAGTTGTCTGTTCTACACTTAACCATTAACACTGACCCAAAAGCACACTCATCCTGGGTGTCGGTGTCCAGTAGCCACAGGGTTTAACGGTGCATATGATGGATGCCTTTATATGCACACGAGCAGCTTCTCATGAAGTCTGCAGAAGCTGGAGAAATAGAGCTAGTTGTTCCTTTTTAGCAAGAGCACTTGTAAAATACGAAAGGGATTAGGTAAATACCCCTTTGAACACTGAGTTGATTCACTGAAGGACTTTAGAAAAGTCAGCAGTTCATTTACCTGAGTTTCCCATTTAAAGGCTAAATAGTAATTAAATGCTTTTTACTTAAGAATGTGAACAAAAATAGACAATATTAAAAAGGGCCAGAGTCAGAAAATTTAGACTCAAGATGAAGTTTGAGCACTTTGAATTTTTATAAAATCTAATAGAAACATCTATGCATTTTTTTTTCCTAGTTAAAACTAAAGTCATAGAACTTATACTGATTGACTGGATGTTATTTAGAACTTAGGTTAGAGCCTGTGAAATCATTAAGAAAGCAAATCAAATTCTTTTGGCATTTCGAGCAAACTGTCACAAAGACTAATTATTAGCGATTTACTTCAGTTAGGAACCCATGTGAGATTATGAGTTAATACCAGATAGAGACTTCAGCATAAATATGATTTTTAACCTGAATAGATCCCCTTTAAAGGGTGATATAGAAAATAACTATAAATTTTCACCAGAAAAACAGTGCACCCAGTGTTTCACCAGTAGTTATCAAAGTTCACCTTTGAACAGGGGGGTATGCAGCCTTGTCGTGCCCAGCCACGCACAATCTTGTAGGGTATTTTGTTTGCTTAAAACAGGTTCTAAGTACAACACATTGTTTATAATCAGGATCCTAACAACATTCTAGAATTGAATATTTTATCCTACAAGAAATATAACCATGTCACTATTCTAAACATATTGTTTCAATTCCAGGTGGAAAGAAACCAGCTTTATAAAATCACCATTCTAACACTTGAACACAGAGCAGAAACAGCAAAGCACCTTGGTCTACATGATTCAATTATTAAATAAACGAAAAGCATCTCTTCCCCTAATCCTTTACTCCATGATGTATCATAATATTTAAAACACAGCTGAGGTACCTGTATCTGCTGAGTAGTTCCCATAGCTGTGTTCCGTGAATGACTCAAAGTAGCATTAAGCAAAGTCACCAGGGTCAAGGAGTAAATTTTAGAAGCAGCATTTTTAAACCCCAAACCATCTTCCTACTGCCTTTCACTAAGTCGCAGAAGTCCCTTAGCTCAGACCAGGGTTTCAGAAACACTCAGTGCAAAGCTGGAGAATGAAACAAAGTTCCCATTTAGGTGGGACCTGTCCCAGGCTGAGAGCACAAATAGTGTTTTCATGTTCCCATTCTATACTGTTTAGCAGTCAGTGAAAAATTTTGCCCCAAACCCATACTATGTTGGATTTTTAAGTCCAAAGATAAATGAAAGCTCTGCTGACACCAGGCAAAGACTATTTCTAAGTGATATCTGCTTAGCAAGTTATTCACACTTGGAAAAAAGAGTAACAAAATCATTTCAGATGAGATATGCTTATTTGATGCCAAAGAGAGCAGTTTCTGTGCCTGCAACACTAGCATTTGCAGGAAGGGCAGGCTTGAGGGAGACTGGTTAACATACATACACATACATGGATCGTTTCATGTAACAGGCAGAATTTGAACAGCTCCCCACAGCTGCACTGCCCAGAGGGTCGGTCAGCCTGGCTGGAGTGCATCAACTCTGTAACAGAGTGCTTCAGTAGTGCATTTTTTTTTTCCATCAGATGTATTCACATATCAAGATATCAAAGATGATTAAATTACTAAAAAAAACCAGGCTTCTAATTCTATGATTTTTAAATTTAATTACCTATTTTAATTAAAATAAATCTAGCTTCTCTAAGGTTGCTCACCAGTACTGCATAGCAATGTTGGTATTAAAGGGGAGGAATCTCTGTATTTCATTTTTAAATGATATTTTAAAAATGTTGGTAAAAATTAAATCATTTAAATTATAAATGACCAATTCAAGCATTTGACCTTGGAAGATTATTGTCTTTACTCACAAAAATTCTTGCCTGTTAGGTTTATGAAAGAATATAACTTAGGGTTCTGTTGGAGGCAAGGAGAAAATGTGAAGCGTCTATGGCAATGCACTTACGTGAATTTACACTCCAGAGAAGAGTTTTCTGTAGCATGAAGGACTTGGCTGATGGAGAAGGCAGCTGGTATTAAAATAACTAGCACAGATTCCTTGGTTCACATACAATGAAAACCAACAATAAGGACCTTGTAGAGATGTAAACAAGCTAAATACGACCTTGGCAAAATATCTTCATCTATTTAAGAAACACCAGAAAGCATGCAACTAAAATTCCCTCCCTTTCACAAGAATGAACTGGGGGGAAAAAAAACAACGAAAAAAACCCCCAAAACAAACCAAACAAAAACAAAACAAAACAAAACAAAAAACAGATGGAACCATGTTTTTGTCAGTAGAAAACAATAATAGATACATTAGGTTCCAGGACAAATAAAACTTTAAAATATTAATTTTGAAAAAATACAATTAAATTTTTATTAAAAAATACATACTCCTTACTCATTCTTTGTGCACATTTTGTTTTGTGTGAAAAAGAAAAAAAGTAGGAAAGGCATTAAGATTACCTAATTATTTACACTGTATTTGGTAGAAGCGTGTTTCAGCCCAACTTTAAACAAAAATAAGTTACTCCGTTTTCATCTGCTCGCGGACATCAGAAGGCAGGGTTTCAAACAGAGCATCTTCTACAACTAAGCCAGCTCGCTTCAGAGCCCGGCAGTCACCCAGTTCGGGAGGGAGGATTTCAAAGTGATTGCCTTTAACATCTAAGTAGGAAAGAAATTGTAAATTTCCAATTTTCGGGGAAAGTACTGATAGGCTGTTTTTCCCAATCTTCAGAGTTTTCAGTTTCTTACAGAAGTAGAGTTCATCTGGCAGGCTCTCCACTTTGTTACAAGTGATGGAGAAATACTGTAAACTTTGCAGAACTCCGATTTCAGGTGGGATAAATCGAATGTCGTTGTAGGACAAGTCCAGGTATCGGATTTTGTTGCACAGGAAGAGGTGGGAAGGCAGCACCTCTATCTTGTTGTGGCTGAAGGACAGGCGCTCCAGGCTGGTGAGCTTCTTTATGTGCTCTGGGATGTAGGCGATGCTGTTGTGCCACAGCTTGAGCACGGTCAGCTTTCGCAAGTGCTGGAAGCTAACGATCTCTTCTATAGATTTCAGATTATTTTCCTTGAGGTCCAACTCCTGGAGGCTGAGCAGGCTGAACACGGCGTGAGGAATGCGCTCCAGGTCGCAGTGGACCAGCTCCAGCTCGGTCAGGTTGGTCATCTTCTTCAGATTGTTGAGCATCACCAGCTTGGTGCCGTCGTTGTGAATGCACATCTTCTGGAGATGGCTGGAAACATCCACCACTGCCTGCGGGATTTTGGAAACGTTGCTTTTGATGGAGAGAATTTTAAGGCTTTTGAGATCCCGCAGAGACTCAAGGGTAACATTTCTGGAAATATCATGACTTAGCGAGCCAACCAGGTAGAGCTCCTCCAGATTCCGGAGTCCGTACATCCAGGGGGGCAGCTCCCGCATATCATCAAACTTGACGCTCAAGACCTTGAGGTTTTCCTTCAGGAAAGAGAGTGCCGCGCTGTGGATCTTGACCGAGCACTGGTGCAGAGAGAGCTCCTGGAGGTTGTCGAGCTGAGCAATGGTGGCTGGTATCATCACGTTCTTAATGATTTCAAGTTTCAGAGACTGCAACTCTGTGATTTCAAAAACAGTGTCTGGAAGGCCAGAGAGCATGATGAGAGGCAGTTCCAGGCGGTTATGGGCGTTCGTCTGCAGCTTCTGCCTCAGTTTATCAGGAGTCCACTCGTTATTCAAGTTCAGCTGCTTCAGTTTGTTTTCGCTCACTTCAGACAGGAACACTGCAAATCTCTTGGAATACAGAGGGTCATACTGATCTATCATATGAAGCATAAAAGCAAAGTCATTTTTCACATCTGGAATGTCGTCGATTCCAGTCTCCTGCCGGACGTACTCAAACGAGTACTCCCTCAGGGAACGGTAGAACAGCCAGTACAAGGTATACAGGCACGTCAGTCCATAGATGCTTACGAAGCACAGGTAGCAGAAGGAGAGCTTTGAGAACAGGTGGGCCATGGTGTGGTTGCAAGAGAAGTTTTTGTATCCGGTCATGTCTTGAATGTCAACATTACAGTCCACTGTGAACTGGACTTTGGAGACCAGGGCGCTGTTATATGCAATGATGATTAGGAATTTTATAACCTTAAGTACCATCTGGCGAACATACATTGCGTAGAGTATGTCACCTTCTTCCACGTGCAGCCTGAACTTCTTCACCTTCTCAAATAAGGCCTTGGCTTGCTCACCCTCCTTCTTATCGAGAGCCCCCGCCGTGGACTTGTCGACCACAAACTTCTCAGGAATGGACTTCAGGGACTGGGAGGTGACCAGGCTGCCTTCCGGGCCGGACTGGGTGGTGTTGGACCTGCTCACGTTGTTCTTCCTGTTGTCCTTTTCTTCGGAGTCCTCCCCGGACACTTCAGATAAAGCCCGTGTGGTCCAGGGAGAGTCAAAACACTTCCCCAGGATGGAGATGAAGTGCTCGATTTTGGAGCTGGAGCCAGGGAATTTGAACCAAAAGTTGCTGCAGAGCATGAAGACCAGTGTGTGGATGAGGACGAGGTAAGGGAAGTACTTGGCATACCAGTGGAGGGCTCGCTCGTAGCACATCTGGTTGATGAAGCTGTACTGCTGAAGGTCCAGGTCTGTCTTCAGGCCTTTCATTTCCACTGTGACCGGGTTAGTAGGAGACGGTTTCGGTGGAGGCAGTGGGATGGTACTGGCCACGGCTTGAGAGACATTTGAAACAGAAGAGTGGTTCTGAGAAGGCTGAACTCTTTTCGGAAGGCAGATTATCTTGTCTTGCATGACCTGAAACACAGAAATCATTTTTTCAAATTGTATTACTCAGAGAGCTTTCATAATGTCATTAGCATGAAGAGAGCAGGAATAACAGCTAACAAACGTCCATTTCCTTGGCCTGGAGGGCACCGCGTTCAGCCCCAGCACCAAGAGTCCACTTCCCAGCCCACGCGCTGGGGAGACGAGACACACGTCTCTGTTCATCGTGTCTCAGTCGTGACACAAAACACAGCAGTTCCGTTAGGACATAGAACAACTCACAACAAAATTAATATTGAAAGGACATTCACGTATTTTTGAAAATTTGCGTTTCTTCTCTCACGAGGGCGCCTGGGAGAACCAGCTTCTGGGCAGGGAAGCGCCTCCTCTGCCAGCCGTGCTCTCACGCTGGGTGGCTCCCGAGGCCTTATTGGCTCATGTGTGGGGAGTGAGAGCGCTGCAAAGAGGGGATCTGGGAGAAACGCCTGTGTTTATCATTTCCGCTTTTCTTTCTGCCCATCTCCTGGACAGGCGTAGGTGAATGTGACGGGCTTTAATATAATGGGAATTTACTAAGCTTTTGTAAAAACTATTTCTTCACAGGGAAATGAAAGAATACAGACATGTCCAATAGTAAAATAATTATCTAAACTTGTTGCTTTTCCCACAAAATATTACATTAACTTCTCTTTACCAATGCTTCAATTTTTTGAGAAGCATATTAAGCCCTAGGAGCGCCCAGCAGCCTCACACGAGTGCAGTCTGGGCACGAAGGAGGCACCCCTTCTGAGGAAGAGGTGGGACGAGGCGAGACACACCTTGAATCAACCCGGAGGAGTCTCTCCAGGAAGAAGACCTCCTAAGTGGGATTATCTGAGCAAACAGCTCAGAGGAGGAACAATGACCAAGAAGCTGACAGCAGGAAGTTGGACTTAGTAATGCAGGGGGGTCTGTCTGTACCTTAAAATGTCAAATGGCTAAAATCCACAGTGTTTGGTGATTTTGCAACGGCAGAGCCCTTTATGTAGATTCCGGAAGTGGAAGCTGAATCCACCACCATGTCGCCTGCTACGGCAGGGGAACGTGACCCCAAGCCCCCAGAGAGAGGTACAAGGTTTGACAGTGCAGAGGAGCACACAGCACTTCGCAGAGTGTCCGACACGTTGGAGACCAGCTGCACACACTTGCCGAGAACATGCGTGAACCCAGAACTGACACCAGCCCTTCCAGCTCAGAGCTGCAGGGGTCTGGGTGTGTGCCATGCCCTTCCTAGGGATGGAGTTGGGGATGCGACCACAGTGGGGACGGCGACAAACTTCCTGTTGTGCGTAAGATGCAGCCCTGTTCCAGCAATGCCATGGCGTTGTTTTAACAGTCACCTTATCCTTATTCCAGTTTCACAGATAAGGAGACCAAGGCACAGAAAAGTTAAGCACCTTGTTTAATGTCATCTAGCCAAGGCCACCTGGACCCAGCACCCACATACTTATTTTACTTTACTCAATTTCTAGGATAAACAAAAAGATCTCAATTTTACCTTATCCTAAGCAACAAATTACCTTATGTAAATTATATGTGTTTTAGGTGAAAAGCTCATCTCTCCCCACATCCCGTGACGATAACAGTGAAAGCATGAGGTGAGGGGAACAGACAAAGTTTCGCCTGTAAAGATTTATAAAAGCTCCACCCTGGAAGGTAAAGCAGGGGCGACTGCTTGCTATGTAAATCAAAAGAATACCAAACGTGATTGCATTCAGAGGGTTTGGTGGCTACAGCAGCGTGAGAACAGCTGAGAACGTCTTCAAACACTCTTATCACTTACCTGTATCAGCAAAAACGGTAAACACGTCCACATTTGTGGGCATGGGTATGTCTACTTGTAATTATACCCACAAAGTATTGCCAATCCATGTGTTAGATACTAGAAAGCTTAATTCTTCTCTCCTTAAGTTGAAAATAAACATAAATGAAAGTTTTCACTTTAATCTCATCTCTCAGTGGGGCATCCTTCTCATTTCTTGGGGGCCAAACACTCTGCCTTGGAAACCCCTGGAATAGAACACAGTGGGAGAAAGGCTACACAAGTGTCAGACTGCCCTGAAGAAACACCAAAGAGGGAAAACGAGAAATTCGGTACTTGGGGTCATGTTTTAGACACTGTCCCACTCATGTTCTCATTTAATGCTTCAGTAATCTGTGAAGTAGACAGAAGGTGGGTGCTAGAGACCAGCATGGGAAGGAATGCTTCCCTGAGCGTCTTCTCCAGGAGTGACACCTTAGAGCTAGGGCCCTAATACGACATGGTTAATGGTGTGATGAAAACAGAGAGGCCTTGGTGTGAAAGCAAGATCAGCACCTTCTGACGGTGCTAAATCCCTGCCAAGCACCCAGGTGGCCCCATGACTGCCCAGCCCCCACCCCCAGCCCTTCCCCAGGCTTGCTCCTCAGGGGGGAAGATGAACCTCTGGGGCTTGGCTGCTGCCAGGGAGCCCAGCCAAGGAGCAAGTGTGGGCTGGAACCCTGCTGCGCTCCCCCTGCAGCTGCACCCTGTGGGATGCCTTTCTGTATTCTGCACAAGGCACCCGACTGGCTAGCATACTAGCATCGGCCATGCTAGAGAGGTGGGTCATTTTCTCCCCGTTCTACAAAAGGACCCGACGAAGGCTCAGAGACGCTCAGTACCTTGCCCGAGTTCACAGTCAGGAAACAGCAGCGCAGACTAGCCTATCTCCACCCCTCTACACAGTCTCCTCATTTCTCCACACTTCTGCTGCGACGGCTTCAGGAGAGCAGCCCAGTGCAGGAGGGCGACACAGAGACGATCTCCAGAAGCTCCTTGCAGCCTTCTGATGCCACATTTCTCCTTCAATCTTCATGGAGACGCAATTTTTAAAATGTGCCTATTTAAATCTCTGGAGGGTAAAGAGAATACTCTATCTTCTGGAAACTGTTAACTACTCAGAAATGAGCGCAGAGCAGAAAAAGATAATGGAATTTCGTCAGAGGAACAGTAGCTGCTTCTGCTGCCAGGAGGGCAAATCACAGTAAGATGCCTGCAGAGACACCGCTCAGAGCAGAATTCCCAAGGGATGTGACGGCAGGTGGTCAGTCCAGGACTACGGAAAGGAAGAAGGAAGGCTGTGGAGTCTAGCAGTAAAGAGTGTGACGACTTACACGGCAAAACAGCCACAGGAGAGGAAGGAAGTTACCCCCCGTGGTTAATAGAAACCCTATTTCTGATCACTGCAACATGCAGCAAAACGGGGAGAAGCAACAGTGTTTTCAAAGGTAGAGTGAAAAAGAGCAAGAAGGCAGAAAGAAGGAAGGCAGACAGGCTTCCTTCAAAAAAAGAGAAGGGCAAAGAGTACTTTTGTGGTATCTTTGTAACTAGCAGCCTATAAGAACTTAAGTTTCTGTTTCACCTCTTCTGCTCTTTTGAGAAGCTGCTCTAATTAACCCTATACCCCACTTCTTCTCTTTTTGACTGAAGTGCAGTCAGTTACAACGTGTCCATTTCTGGTGTGCAGCACAAAGTCCCAGTCACGCATATACACACATAGGTTTGTTTCATATTCTTTTCCACTAAATATTATTACAAGATATCGCATATAGTTCCCTGTGAAACCAATGCCTCACTTCTTTCTATGTTTACCCCCAATTTAAAGATGAGAGTACAAAACACGCCTTAAAGAAAGGCTGCAAAACAAATTTCAAAGGAGCCATGGTTCCAGGCAGCTGGTGCCGGACTGAGAGCGGGTGCTGAGGGTGAGAGCGGGGGAACCTGCCCCCGTTCCGCTCTGGGCTCAGGCTCCGAGGCCCAGACCATCACCACCAGCACATGCACACTCACTCTCATGTCACCATGTGGAGGAGGTCCGTCTTCTTCAGGGGCAACCCTCAGACTGCCTTTGGAGGAAGAAGTTTTGAGACTAGAGTTACATGGCGTGTTTGTGTAGGGGGAGGGCAAGAAAGAGGGGCAAGAAACGGTGGTAGGGGGTAGAGACAAGAATTTAAAAAGCAAGATGAACAAGAGAATCTGATCCAAAATATTATAAGGCGAGAAAGTTACTGTCCTAAAAGTGGCTTTGGGGCTAAGTCTTGGATGAAATCATCTCCACTGAGGAAAATATCTAAGTTAGCTTGGGAACGAGGAGGAGGGGGCACTGAAGAAGGAGTCATTGAGGACAAAGGGCAGGTGAAGTCGGGCAAACAAAGCCGGCTGAACCACCAACCATCCCGGGGAGGGGCGGGCGTGGTGGGAAGGGCGGGGTCAGCAGAGCAGAGAGGGGCCAGACTCATCCGAAGCGGGTCAAGGCACACGTGAGGAGGCTGCAGGACACACTCATGTTTCCACTTTGAGTTGTAAGTACCTTTCACTCTTCCCCAAACCTTTGCTAGAATCTGCCACACACACACACACACACATTTTATGAATGAATTTTGTAGAAATCACAGCAAAAAGGGACCAAATTTCATGCTTGGGTCAAAACTGTACAGACAAGGAGAGTTTGTCTGAGACACTGAAAATCCGTTAAGCTCAGCTGTTTCCATGGAAGCAGGAGCTGGGGCCGTGAGGCCTCTCCCATGAGTCTGCCGGGGCTCAGGGAGGCCACTCGGAGAGGCCACGGGCTGCGACTGACCCAAGACCTTCTAGGTCTCAAGGCGCAGCTGACATCCAGGTAACAAAAATATGTAAGATGCTCCTCAAGACTTTGTCAGCAAAGTTCCTGGAGGAATAAACACATACATGTAAAATCGTTCCATGGCTGTCATACTTTCTAGGTAATGTTTCTGCAAAAGAAACGCGAGCGCTGCAGGCACTAGGGAGATGGCCTCACTAAAACTTGGATTGATGAACTATCATTTGCAAATTATTTTAAGATGACAGCTGTTTTTAGGGGAAAAAAAGGAATTCAGCTTTTAAAATTCCTAGGTCAATGAAATAAACTGAATTTCTTGCCTTTACTTTCTATGGTGGGGGGGTATGTTTTCAAGAGAAACAAAGTAAAATTCAGCCCTCCCTAAAACAGGAAACAGCCCATCTAAACTATGCCCTGAAATGCTGATCAGATCTACAGACATTAAATATTTCAAACTATAATTGTCAAATTTATACCAGCAAGGAGTTGCATTTTTAAGTGGAGTATGTGCACACTTTTTCGCAGCATACTGAAATACCTTGCATGGTCAGTGCAAAATTAGGGCCTTTTAACAGTAATTCTCATTATTTTAAATCATTAATCTTCATCTACACCTTTGATTGTATGATATACCTTTGATGGGGGTTATTTTATTATCCGTTCCTTTGTTAGAATCATGATACTCATTAGCATAATGTAAAAATAAGATCTACTTAATTTAGGCAGTTTCCAGAAAAGCACCGCAGTGGAAGCAGCAGGGACCTGTGGTAACACGTTTGCATGAGTGACACCGAAACGCTGAGGTTAAAACAAAGCAAGGCAGATCCAGAGCAAAGCAGACCACTGAGCTTCAGAGAAACTGTCTGAAATAACAAAGGTAGAGCCACACAAACAAGGGCCAGCTTGCCCGTTGCACGCGGGAGACACAACCATCACCGATGGGGCCGCGCAGGGCACGGAGCCCCACGTGCTCCGCAGTCCCAGTGACACCACGAGCAGCAAACTCTCAAGGTCAAGCACAAGAGGACGACAACTCAGTCAGTCATGAGTGTTGTAAGTGCTCAAATTCACGCCTGCCTTTCACAGCGAACTTTGCAATCAGCTTTATGGTCTAGATCCAGGAAAACAGCAGCAGCAACAACAGCAGCTCGGTGGCACTTTTACTGGGATGGCATTACACCCATGAGCTAATCTGAGGAGCACCGACGTCTTTGCGGTGCTGGCTCCTCCTCCCCGTGGCGTGTCCACTTGTGCACATCTCCGTTTGTGTCTCTAAGGCTGCTTTCTAGCTTTCCTCACATAGGTTTTTTGTTATTTATTGTTAAGCCTAAGCATTTTATTTTTTGTTATTATAAATCTTTTTTTTTAAAAAAACAAAACACTAGTTTTTAACACAGAGGGGAGATCCTCCCTTCCCCCTTCTGCCCCCACGCCAGCCCGCAGCAGGCGCTGGTCAGCGCGGAGCGGGCTCCTCCGCAGGCGCCTCTGCGCACGCCCGCCGACGCGCACGGCCACACACGGCACCTTACCGCCCGGGCTGTCCTCGTGCCTCGCGCTTCCGCTCTCGCGGTGCGTCTTGGAGGCCTCACACGTCGGCACACAGGGACTTACTCCATTCTGGAGACCCCAGAATTACACAGTGCGGATGTACTACGATGTATTAAAAACACTCCGATGCTGATATGTGCATTTAAGCAATTTTTCAAATTAAAATCAGTGCCAGTCTCAAAAAATTACATGCTGCCTGGTTTTACGTGGCATTCTGTACACCCGTCCAGAGGGCACATGGGTGGCTGCCAGAGGCTCACTGCAAAGGCTGAGCCCCGGGCATTCCCTGGGGTGCTGGGACTCTTTGGATCCTGTGTGGTAGTGACAAGAACTTCTGTATGTTTTAAAACTCAAACGTGTATCTTGTTTTGATAAAGAGTATGTTCTTGAAGAGGGGAGGGCTGAATGTTGCCTAATACTAACAGTGCTCTACCAAACTTTTTTCTGCTTTTTTTTATATCATTCTTTAATCTCTATTTTGTACCTTTGTCTGTGATTTTGTTTTATTTTTTAGGTGCCTGTTTAATGGATTAAAAAAAATCCAGACTAATCATCGCTTTCTTCTTACAAGTGAATTTAATCTCGTCTTACTTTGTTCACCTCATTCATACTTGGATATTTACTGCCATTTGGATTTCTTTCCGTATCTTTAATTTTTATATATGCCTTTTCGTCCCCCATCCTGCCTTCTGTTGCATTGATAAAATTTTGAAACACACAATTTTAAAAACGTAATCTATTTGATTGCGATTATTTACATATTTATTAAATCATGTGCTCACTGATTTTTTTAGACCCTTTATCTTCCCCGGGGTTCCTTTTCCTTCTGGTTAAAGTATATCCCTTAATAGTTCTTTTGGTAAGGGTCTACGGATGAAAATCCAGGCACCGCACATGTCTGAGTGTGTCTATATTGCTTTATGTTCTTGAATAAGAGTTTAGTCAATTGCACAGTTCTGTGTCGACAGGCATTCCCCTTCGGCACTTGAAAACATTGTCCCATCTTCTGGCCTTTTCTTGCTGATGAGAAGGCTGCTGTCATCTTGCATTTGTTCTTCAGTGGGCAATCTATCTTTCTCGACAACAGCTTTTAAGATTTTAGCTTTAATTCCAGACCTTCTACAATTTCACTTTAATTTTAAATGGATGAAGATTAACACTGCTCAATGTCAGTGGTCAAGGACTTGACTGGCTTCAGTTTTGGAAAATTGTAGCAAAATCTCTTAAAATAATTGAAGAATTACTTCATCACTTCTTCCATTTTTTTCCTGCCATTCCTCCTACTGCATGCACATCACCGTCTCGCAGCGGGTCCCCTGGGCCACGGTGCTGCGTCACCCCGTCTCCCCGTGTGCTGGGCTCTGGGTAACTCAGAGCCCTCATCTAGCCCATCACTCTGCCCGCAGCTGAGCGCAGTCTTGTTTCTCTACATGTTGGCGTTTCTAAATTCAGCGCCTTTTCTTATTTCCACGACGTAGAGAATTTTTATATCCATTTGCTCTTCTATCAGATCTGCCTCCTTTTTTATGTTTTGTCCTTACACTTTGACCAGTCTAATAAGCACACTTATTTTAACTTCATGGTTGGTTCTAAAGTCTGTTTTGTCTCGAGCTGAGTGCATCGGGGTCCCAGCTGCCAGTGCTGCTCAGAGACTTTCTCAGCCTGGTGTTCCTCGTGTGCTCTGGGTGGCAGGCTTATTCTGAGGAGGCTGTTTTCTCACACGCGCCCTTTTGTGGCTTCCTGCACCCAACCCCCAGCCCCCGGTCCACCATCAGGACTCAGCACGATGCTCTGATGTTCCACTGCCACGTCAGGCCCTCGCAGATCCAGTCAGGGGGACGTGGGCAGGCGGCTCAGTTCCTGGGTGGGAGGCACCCCAGGTGAACGGTTTCCTCTGAAGCACCGGCTAACCGCCATTCTTTTTAGCTTCCTTTTGGGAGCCAGGGCTTTTGGCTACAAACAGTGACCAGGCTCCAGTCTCTTATCTTTCTTGGAGCATTTTCAGTTCCTTTCCTGGCAGGAGCTGAGCTCCTGGCCGCTACTGCCTGCATTTGGACGAGAGCCCGGCGGCTGCTTCAGCCCCCTCAGTATTCCGTTTGGGCTCCACACAAGTGTTTATCTTGTTTCGAGCCCACGTATGCGTTTTGTTATCTCTTTTTATGCTTTATCATGACTGTGCGCGTTGAACAGAGGGAGTGTTTTCAAGTGTAACTCTTGCTTCACTATCTTTTCAGAAGAGACAGACAGTGTGTTGTAATACAAAAATCAGTCTCAAGTCTACCATCATGAAGAATCAGCATCGCCGGGATAAAGCCGAGCAAGGCACACCTGTGACGCCAAAAAGTCCCCCTGCCGAGGAAAGGCTGCGTTTCTCTTGCACCCTCCCAACTGCATACAAGAGCAGTTGTTTTCCTGTAACCTCAACAATTACGCCACAGTTACGACTAGGTTATCACTGCAAGAAGTGAGAAACGTAGCTGCGTATGATAGGACAGCAGGCCTCATTCCAATGATGTCGACGTGCGTTCTTTAGATGGTGACCTGCTCTTTCAGAAGATGGTGCTTTAGCTTGGTTCTGGCGAGTGTGACACACACAGGCAGACTAGAGCCGCAGCGGGGCGGGTGGGCCAACATGCAGGCGATTAGCTTTATCCTTTCCCCTCCCCCCGCTGCACAGATTCAAATACAACCACTGCAAAAGGCTGTGCCCTGAAGCTGACCATCCTGGTTTGCCCCCAATCTGGTAAGAGCAAAACAAGTTATCTCTGTTGATCTAAGAATGACCTAGTAAGAAGCAGACCCCAAAGACCTACCCCCCAGGGCTTGTTCAGAGGTACTAAGGACAGATTATCCGTGACTAACTTACACTCACTGACTGCCTACTTCGTGCGAACCAGATAGGAGAGGCAGGGAGGCGTAGCCAATGTTCGCAGTCCTGAAAGCACTTACGGTTTTGTTGGAGACACATAAATAGCCATGAGAAAAGTCACACAGGAGTGCACACAGGCTGCACGCCCACCACGTGAATGACGTGGTGACACAGAAGGAGTTCAGGCGCTGAGTGGGCCGGGAGGGCTCACGGAGTGGGGCAACGTCTTCATCTGGGCCTCGAAGACGCTGGACTCGGACAGCTTTGCGGGAAGGGGAAGGTCTGGACCTTGTGGGCTCCAGAGACAGGAGCAAAAG